TTTTAATTGTTATTAATTTTTTGGGTAGGTTTTTTTAAGGTCCCTTCAAGAAATAGATGAAATTGTTGTCTTTGTTTTTGCTTTTGTTGTTGTTGTAGTTAAGTTATGGGTTTGTTGATATATGTTGAATATGTGTGTGTAAGTTTGGTTTGTATGGGGTGGGAGGAGTTTTGATGATCCAAAACTATGTTTTATAAATGAAAAAGTGGTGGCTTATATATATATATTTCAATTATTAGAGCTTGTGTGAAGTGAAACATAAGAAATTGTCAAATAGGGCTAAGTTTGTAGAAGTAATTAATCATGCTTTTTCAAGTTTTTTATTTTATTTTATTTTCTATTTCTTTCTTTTTCCAAGTTTTGGGTATACTATCAGTATATGTGGTTAATTGGTCGTGTTTTACACGTTTGTAAAAATGTGTTCATCATAGCACCAACTTTATGCATCATTTGATGAGAAGAGATTAATTTTATGTATCACCAACTTTTTTTTTTTAAGTAAAAAAAATATGTACATTGACTCACTTATAACCAAGACAAAATTTTAAAATGCACATAGGGCTTAAATATGTTCAATTAATTTTAGTGGTGCTTTATTTTCCACAAATTTTATACAATTAAATGAAATTTTCATTAGTCTTGACATTTTTTAACAATTCATGTTAATTCATAGCTATAAACTAGCTCAATATTTCTATCCAAATAAGTGGGGTTCTATCGAGTAATTTATATATTAAAAAAAATAAAAACACATGTGGACAAAAAAAAGAAAAGAAAAAAAAAGGAGTGGACAACAATAAAAAATACGTATTTAAGGAATACGTTTTCTATACAATTTGTATAGAAAACGTATTCCTTAAATAAGTTTTTTCAGATTTCTTTACAAAAGAAAACGTATTCAGTGAATACGTTTTACAATTAAAAAAATAGTAAAACGTATTCACTGAATACGAAGTTTTTATTTTGGTCTATTTTTATTTGTTTGTGTATTTTTTTTTCTACATCTTAATTCTTTTTCAATTTTCTGGTAAAAAATTCGGGTTGTATCACCACAATGATGAAACCAAAGTGGGAATTTTCATTTTTGCTTGGCTTCTAAGATAAGGTTTTTTTTTTTTTTTTTTTTTT